GTTGGCAAATCCAGTGTTGTAGATTGTTTGAAACGCATTGGGAAGGTGAAAAAACCCGACAATTAGGTGCCCCACAATCGGAGTGACCGGCAGGAATCGGCACGTCTCGAGGTTCCTTCTTCGCTGCTTTTGCGCAAAAGAATTGACCCGTTTTTGAACCGATTTGTCACCTGTGATGAAAAATGGATCATGTATGATAACAGGAGATGTTCCGGACAGTGGTTGGATTTGGAGGAACCACCGAGGTAATTTTCAAAGCCGAACCCTCACGAAAAAAAATTCTGGTCAGGTTTGGTGGTCATCGGCTGTTGTAATCCACTATAACTTTTTATCGCCAGGCCAAACCATCACAGCAGAACCCTACTGTGAACAAACCGACCAAATGTTCCGAAAATATTGTCAGCTGCAGCCAACACTTATCAAAAGAAAGGGTCCGATTCTTTTGCATGACAACGCCCGCCCACACGTTTCACAAATCACTATCCATAAATTGAACGAATTGAGGGTTGAAGTTCTACCCACCACGCAATATTCTCTCCCCGAACCTTTCACCCCCATACGCGAACTGTCACCTTTTCAGACATTTTCAGAACTTCCTTGCTGAAAAATACTTCTTCAATTAAGACCAGGCAAAAAAGACCTTCGTAGATTTCGTGGATTCTCGACCACCCAGTTTTTCCTTTTATGGGATTTCTCGACTGCTGTCACATTGGCAAAAGTGTGCTGATTCGAATGGTGCCTATTTCGATTAAATCCGATGAGTATTAAAAAAGTTACGATCGTTTAAAGTGAAACACCCAAAACGCTAAGAACTTTCCGGACAATCTAATAATTCGCTGTTGGTAATAGTCGTCGCCTCTCGCTGTTCGAAAAAGTCGTCGCCTCCTTCGCTAAACTGTTGCGGCTGAATCCACTTTATTGCTGCACGCGGCTGTACCTATTCCAACGCTTCTATATCCACCGTATACGCGCGGAAGAGATTGCTGAATAGGTATAGCCGCATGCAGCAATAGATTAGATTCAGCCGCATCAATCTAGTGAAGGAGGCGCAACTATTTCGAACAGCAAATCAGCAACTAATTTTGATAACCTGTTCAGAATGCTTTATTCAGATGTTGATATGTTTTCCTATGAGAATGGTCATCGAATGTATCTCGCGCCGGTTAGGAACCAGGACACTTGCATAATAGTTTGCATCGTTTCCAGCTGGCATGTCCCGCAACTTCCGTTTCGCCACATAGGGACAGGTCTCAGTCTTCAAAGGCTTGTCATGAAAGTAAGGCGGATATAGAGGTGTTGTTCTTTTTTCAGGAATTTCGACACGCTCTCTTTGCTGTAAATAACAGTCACTCGCAACACGAACTGCCCCACTTTCTTTCTCCTGGCTTTTGTCAGTTCTTCTTAATGTGGTAATTACTTGTCGATGTTAAATTTTTGGTTGTTCCCTTCCCTTGTCATTGTACCATTTCTCATTCAGCACATTCGCAAATTGCTCCCATTCTCGACTGGTTACAGTAGTCCATCATACGAATACCTGACACAATAGACCAAATTTGTTTTAGATGACTTTGTGAACCAGTAAGAAGCCCTATTCGGATCGTAATCACACAATCTCCCCTTCGAATTCCGCTTTCTCAGACCACCAGCCATGAAAAGAATTTACCTGAGTTAAAGGGATTTCCTTAATTGCTACTCGATAGCTTAGTAGTTATTGATCATTACTGAATGACTCCAATACTGTACTACGGTGAACAAAGTTCATCGTTGTAACGATGTTCATCGTAGTAATATAAGCCTTTTGAACTGACCTCCGGGCTGTTGTATACGGCTCATAAGATAGAGCGCCCCAATGAAAAGGATTCAAACAGGCGCGCGCGCGAATTTTTTCAAAGAGGTCACCTCTGCTTCGTAGCATCCGCGAGATGCAACGTCTCCCAGTTGACATTGTGTGTAGCTGCACGACGTACACTCGAATCGGCGACGATTCAAGTTAGCAGTGTCTATTTCTGGTTCCACGTTTTCCTGAGTGAAGTAAGACTCATACATGCAGAACACGAACTTCTTTGCAAGAATTGATATGTACTTCACCAATCTTGGGCATGGTCCGGTGTGAACCACTGTGTCCACAGTGGGGATTGTGAATTTGCAAAGAAAATACGCAGAAAATAATATTTATGCGAATCTTCAGCCTAGATTGCAAACTGGTTGAGCGAAAAGCAATGCGAATGAATATTCGGTGTAGTTCCAGCTATCGCATTGGTTATCCAACTTTGGCCTACATAATTGAGGGGTTTCGAGTCGTAACGCTATTTGTAGGTCTTTCAATGAATGAATTAACCACTGCTGTCCAGTTTCTTTCCTAGTTCCGTAGGGCCTGAGATGTACTGAACAGGTTGCCAATAATTTATTCAGTTTCGTTAACCCCATAGCTTCTTCCCAACAAAAACGTGCGCTCTGGAACTTGTGGCGCACCTTTTGTCGGTAAAACGTTGATCTAAGGTGGAAACCCGTTTCCTAACCGAGGCAGAAATGCAATGTTATGTTCGAGGCAGGAGTACTGGCTACGGGGTGCTCTACTTGGCTGCAGAACATTTTCCCTACTTTTCTGATGAGTGTCTATGCATCTGATCACCTGTGAATGCTTGAGCTGTCGTCGAAGAAGTATTTTTGAATAGTGCTAGAAGTTGTCTCTTAAAGTCGGTCCAGCATTAAATCTTGATGCTCATATAGTTCCGTTTTTTTCAGTAGTACAAATGGGCAGCAAAAACAAGAAAAGGTTGAAGAAGAGGAGGATGGAAGAGGCAAGTGAAGAGATCACAGAAATTCCAATACATCGGCGAAAAATTGACTGTGATAATGAAGTCATGCTTATTGAGGATGACGAGAACAAAGAAAATAAGGCTGATCAAACAGGTGAGATTACTTCCAGCAATTTTCCTAATCTGATATTTTTTGAATTCTTTGCGTGGACTGGAGAAGAAAGCAAAGAACCTAGAACACTTGTGTCATATGTGTTTTTTTTCTCCTCCTCCGAGCATGTTCTATACTCTAGTTCGCTGCTGATGAGGAGGCGTGTCTGGCTGTATGAGTACACCTCGGCGCCAAAGCCGTTTTCTGCGAGTTTTTGAAGCGAATATGCGACAACAATCGCTAGAAAATGAGTAACAAGAACGACATGATATGTCTGCACTTCAGTTATTAGTGGAGGAAGGGTTTGGCGCTGCTGCCGCGCCAAACTCATCCCACCTGACACGCCCCTTCGACCGCAGCGAACTACACTATACTTATTAAGAACATTCCTCGCTTTCTTGAGTTCTTCACCATCTGGAAACATTAAACTACTAAATACTGTGCTAGT